GCACATAAAGTTGTTTTCAAACAGCTATGAATTACACATACTCATAGAACTATGAGTCTACCCATACTCACAGGCCTTACGACAAATATGGGCTTTGCACATACCCATATTTTCTATAAAAAAATCACACAGCAGTTCTGCACAAACTGCAGAGGTATAGACTCTGCTCAGAGACAGGCTCAAAAACATTGCCTGACTAAGCACAGTTTCACAGGTTCTAAAAAGAGCCGAGATAGTTAGAACATCAAAATTAATTTTTGCAATGTCTTTGAGTATGTGAACTGTAATGAGCACTGTAAAAGCCCCAGGCTCTGCGCGTAGGACTGCTGTCCAACTTTAAAAAGCAATTGCCTCTGCTTATCAGACTGTATGGACAAATAGGGGTGGGGGTGGTGGTCACAGTGATACCATGTCTCTTTTCCTCCATGCACATATGTTCTGATACATATAGAAACACTAAGCTATGGCTAATGGAAAGAACACTGGAGATGGCGTAAAAGAACCGAGGTCAGAGATCTGCTCTGTCAGCTATTGACTGTGTGATCTTGGACAAGTCACTGTCTTCTCTGAGTAACAATTTTTGGACCTTTAAAATGAGCATGCATGTTATACTGTTAGTATATTAAATTAAATTTTGTCCGTGGAAAGCTTATAAAACTCGATTTTTTTTACTGAGTCACCTCCGTGGTTGTGAAATGTGGTGGTATTGGTCAGGGAAGGGAGAAAGGTACAAACAGTGCTTCTGAGTGTGGTCTCCAGTCTAGCACCATCATCATCATCAGGAACAGGAAATCTTTGGGCCCCATCACAAACCTACTGAATTAGGAACTCTGGGTTTGAGGACAGCAATGTGTGTTTTAGCATGCCCTCCAGCTGATTCAGATTCATGCTAATGTTTGTACACCCCTAATAGAAGACATTTTTTATTTTCTTCCCATTCTAGCCTTGACGTTCATCATTTCTTCTGCCAGGACCATTAACTTCTCAGTCCCTGCTGATTTCTGCTGCATTCTCCCTGAACACACAGACTTTAACTAAATGTAACTAATATTATCCTCAACTCGCATAGTCAGGCTGTGATGAAAATGACACAGCCGTGCAAGTAGTCTTTACTCCATACGGGGACACTTGAGCCCTCCTCAGTTGTATTAGGTTATCCTCACAATGAATGTACAACTTTTATCACTCTCCAGACCCTGTTTTTCTCTTTCAACTTATTTTTTCTGTATAATTGAGACTACAAAAGTGTCAGGAGCCAACTCCTCACATAGTTATTCCTCTCCTCTAAATCTGTCTTATGTCTGCACCCATCTCCCCCTCATTTCCTCCCATCTTGGAGAACATGATGTCGATGTCCCTTCTGCTTTTCAATATGTCCTTTCTCATAGCTGTTTTATCTTTTATTTTACGTAGATATAAGAAAGCTTCCTTCAATTATTTTTAAAACAATCTTATACATACACACACAAGCACACATATATGCATTTACATGCATGCATTTTTATATGTATATATGGATATATGGGCATATATATCTATTTATATCTATGTGTGTGTTATGTATGTACATCTTCAAGAACAATTGACCCACCTATTCACTCAATTCCCTTTCTCTCCTACCACTTCAGGAACTCGGTTCCATCAGTTATCTCTTCTCTTTTATGTCTTCAGCTTCCTCTCATTGTCTGGATCTTTATTATCTAAGAAGATTCAAGTCTTTAAATCAAGAAGACAAACAAAAATTTACAACAGCTATAATAAAACCTTCTTATTCTACTAAAATCTCTTCCTAGTTACTAGTTACTGTTATCTCTGTCTCCTTTCTTTTAAAAATCACTCCTTCCGTGTAACACTTCTTTCGGCTTTGACGTCTCTACCCTACACTGGTTGTCCTCTTGTACCCTGACCATCCTTTCCAGTCCTTACTGAAGTCACTTCTGCCTGTGCACATGGTTTACTGTTGGAGTTTCCTATTGGTCTGTCTCTATCCCCTTCTCACTCTTCTCTCTCCGTGCTCAATCTTATCCATGGTCTTGGTTTCATTTAACCTCACATGCTGATATCTCCCAAATCTATGTCTGCCATTTCTAAGGCTTCCAGGCTCCCACCTGATCTCCTAGTATTTCTAGTCTCTAAACCATCCTCCAGGAGTAAATAATGTTTTAAAATAATTTTAAGCATAATACTTTTTTGATTATGGATAATAGTTGCCCATTGCATTAAAAATCTTACACACAGACACACACACACACACACACAAACACTACTGCTTTCTCTACTCATACCAGAAAACACATCTGTCCCTGAACCTGCTCTCCTTTCTCTGTGCTCTTCTATTCATTCTGCTTCATCTATGTCTATCCTCCTTTTAATGTAGCCAATTCAGATTTCTTATCTTGACAGGTTTTTCTCATCCTTTAAGGCAGCTGGACTAATGCTTCCTCTGTACTACCGCATTCACCTGCAGTTCTCTCGCTCTCTTTCTCCCTCAGTACAAATCACACTGAAATATTTTCAGCCCAAATATACTGTGAGCACCCTGAAAGCCAGAACTGTGTCTTTTCTGCTGATGTATAAAATAGAGTTTACACTTAGTGAAAGTTCAAAGCATGAGAAAACAGGTAAGTCCCCACTCACTCAGCCATGTGAGTTTGCCCTGACAAGAAGACACACTAATTCCACAAAACTCACAGGTGTGTAATAGCTCTTCTGTTCTCAAGTTCTCTTCTAGCCTGTAGTGGGTGCCACCTGCGCTTATTATTCCACAGCATCACTCATCTCCTGTCCCTCCTCTGCCACATCATCCCACCTTTGTCTGTGACATCACCATCTGCAGAAACCTTTCTTCTTCATCTTGACTTCAGCTCTCCTTCTAAACAATGAACCTCCGAAGCAGCCAGTGTTCATAATTTCTCCCCATCCTCCGCCCCAGTGATTTCCATTTTCACTCCAATTCCGGCACCCGTTGAAGTTTCCACACCTCAGAGCTGGTGAACGACTCCAGTAACCCCACTTGAAGTTGTCTCCCGGCAGCTCCTTTCTTCAGATGTCCTGTGACTTTTATGCCCAACCTCCTTGTCTACCTCTTTCTTTCACCTTTGGAACCTCCTACCTCCATTGAGTCTTTTACAGTTAAGCATCTTTTGGGCATCCAGGACGTTTACATTTTTAGAGTGAAAGCAAGGCAGAGGCAAAATTTTCAATGATAAATACAAGGTTCAATACTTCAATTGCAAGAGCAGAAGCAGAATTTATTCACTTTTCCTAGGTGTCAGTTTTCAATCCTGCTAGCCAGAGTTCCTTCATCAAAAACTTGACTGACACTGACTACATTTCACCTCATTTCCTTCTCTCACCTCCCGACAATTGTTCATCCTGCATCGTATTCTAGTTTTCATTCTTAGGCAGTAGATTTTTGTTTGATAAATTCACATACTAAAAATCTAGATAGTTTCCCCGTGACCTCTCATCCTCTGACTCATCCCTTCTTGGTTTCCTAATCAGTGAATGTTGGTTCCAAACCTTCTCTTCTCTCCTGTCCTCATGCCCCAGTAGAGCAGATGCAGTAACTCTGCATTAACAGAAAAATCCAGACCTTCAAGCACAAACACTTTTATCTTTTTTTCTCTTTCCCCTGGCTATTCTTCTCCATTCTTTAATACTCTTCCTTCTACTAGTCAATGTATCCCTTCTACTAAAGAAAGTATCCCTTGTTCTACATCAATGAATTTCTATCACCTGCTTTTGTATCCTTTACCCAACTGCTCTATCCAGTAACTTTTTCCATTTACCCTTTATACATGGTTCCCCATGTAAGAGGGGTTTCCAGAAAGTTCATAGAAGGATTCATATTATCTTTTAATGCCATTTTTCCCATGAACTTTTTGAAGTACCTGCGTACAATAGTTGCATTTTCTTGCATTGTTTCTCAGTGTCTGAGGATAAGACCTATGTGCAATTTTTGATTCTTGAATCCTCTTTAGGAGTCAAGGATCGGTTACTCACCAACCTCTCCCTCCTCACCAGAAAATTGTCCCTCCAAACTGCCCTTCTCCCATCCTACTCCCCAGGAAAGCACAGTCATCTTCAGCTTCCCTAGCCCGTTCCATTCCTCTGTCCTCTGCCCTCTTTGAACATTGTCACGGAGTTGTCCACTTATCCGGTACCCGTTTTTCATTCTCACCTCCCTACTAAAACTTCCCATTCATTTTACAATTTTCTGACCCAGACTTACTTCCCCAATGCCTCCTTCTCAGATTCAGGGTTGCTCAACTGTTCCTTTCACGAACAGC